TGGTTGCTGGAGATTCTGGCTCCTAAGGGCTGGGAAGTGGAGACACAGTCTCCTTGGGTGCAGCCTGCTTCTTCTTGGAACGGGAGCCAGACAAGCCACTCACTGGAAATGAGGGCTTCCTCTGGGCCTGGAACAAGTGATGCAGCCCCTTTTGGGCCAAGGACTTCAGGACTGTGGCAAAGTGGTGACCCCATCTGGGCCCCACACTGGATGCCCGAGCAAACTTAGGCGATAGGGAGACTGATGAATAGGGCAGCATAAGAAGTGCACTGGTCATGCGGCAGGATCCCAGGGGCATGTTGGTCATGTGACGGCAGGACATGACAGCAAGACGATACACAGTGTGGTTCACAGACACAGTTACAGGATGGGTCATGGGATCATCCTGGAGTCTATTCCAGGAAACACAGGACATGGTCCCTCATAGAGCAGAATATAAAGATCCTCCATCTATCTATATTCTGCAACTGACCATCAAATTGTTGGCACATACCTCAGGCCTCTTGCACAATTCAAAATACCTCTTACCTATCATGCATAGATTATGTACAGCTGAACATTTCATATATCTTTTTATTTTTCCTTATTTGTTTTTGATTTTTTGTTATCATGTACGGTGACCAGAGTTACATTTCATTACATGTTGTATGTGACAAATAAACCTCTTGAGTCTATTCAGGGTCACAGGCTTGTGATTGGGCACCAACCCAGCGCAGGGCACTCTCATGCATGCACACCTACAGGCAATTTGGCAACTCCAATTAACCACAGCGTGTTTTTGGACTGTGGCGGGAAACCAGAGAACCCAGAGGAACCCTCACAATGACACAGGAAGAACATGCAAACTCAACACACTTTGGAACCCTGGCAGAGACTCGAACTCTGGTCTCAAGGGTGCGACGAAGCGGCGCTAACCACTGTGCCACCATCTTATTTACAGATCCTTCATAAATAAAATGAAAGTAATCTGAAGGGATGCCATAAATAATTCTAGCCATGAGTGAGCGTTTGTTCGATGCAGCTGTAACAGACATTGGCGTTTGGAACATCCGGACGCTGCTCATTTTGAGGCACCACTTACACACAGCAACCTCTGCCTTTCATGACTATTTTTGTTTCAGAAACGCCTCAGTGTGACTTTGCCTGTGTGTTTTGGGTCACAGTCTTCGTGAAAAACCATCTTCTTCAAAGTCCCAGGCGGCCCTCAGACCCCAGCAGGAACTCCTCTAGAATTCCTCTACATCATTTTTGGCTCCCGTCTTCAGAAGATCCATCCTCTTTGGTTGCAGCTTTTGCCAGACTTGCTTTGAATGTTCTTTAGCCTTCAGAATACAGGTAGGAGTTTCCACTAAACATATGAACTTTTTACAGATATACTTAAGCTCAACTTATGTAAGACACACAGGCATAACCCTTGGTGAGGCCATTTCTCCCACATTAGCTGTAAAATCAGTTACAGACTCATATCCCACACACAAAAAATCCAGAGGACCAGGAGGCAAAGTAAAATCTTAATTTACTATGTCCATTCAAAGATGGTCATAATAACTAAATACTTAATACAAACCAAGGAGCCCATAACAAGAGTCAGCAACAAGCACTGCCAGCAGTGAGACTTAAATAGGGAACTCACATAGACACAGGTGCCAGCGCTAACTAATAATTAAGTAATTAATAGGTAGGAGAACTGGAATTTGTGAATCTGATGTTGCCCCCAGACTCCCTCTGCTGGCCACATCACAATATGACAATTATGTGACTAGCTTTTGCCAAAGATCATTGAGGCATATCATATGATAATTAGTGTAGTAGAATCTGTACAATTTTGTATGTTGATCAGTGATAGAACATTCCAGACATTATGAATATTATGACTATATCATAATAAAGTTCAAGGTTGTCAAAGCTTTTGACAACTACTCTCACTTTAGAGAACTACTGACTGTGTTCGGCAAAATAAAAATGGAACAAGAACAAATACGATGAAGTCAGGAGAAAACAGAAAACAAACAAAAATAAGCTCAAGGTGCGGGAAGCCCAGATGCGGAGTGTTAGAGCCGTAGGAAGAAGGAGAGCAAACAGGGCCAAATAATGGGCCTCAGTTGTAGACTGTCATTAATCACGCCAGACTGGGACAGAAACTGGGCAGAGAATGCTGCCGTCTCTCACGTTTACGACCATGCAACATATTTCTTTATGGCAGTAGAGTATAATCTTGTTTACATGTTTGACTGTACTTACTGTGTCTGTTTACAGGATAAATGAAGCGATATGAACAGTTCTCACTCCAAACAGGAGGTGTTAATTGTCAACAGGGTGAAAGTAAACAACGTTGTTCTTCTCAAGGAGAAGTAAACCTGAAGTAAACCTTGAAAAAGCGAGTGGCATGGAAAACTAGAACATGGAGATGGCAGTATGAGGAACCGCTGGCAGGGGGAAGTTCTGGCTGTTGCTTCTTTTTGATCAGGTCTTGGTCACCAAAGGATTTTGGTAAATGTCTTTTTGTTCCAAGATGTGACTGACCAGAAGGGCAGAGCACCAAGAGCTGCACTGTGCCCCCGTCGGCTGTTTCCTGCTTGACAGTCCGAGTCCACTGGGCTGAACAGGGCAGGAAGGAGGTCACCGCCGGGACTTGGGGGTGCTGACTGGACAGATGACTTAGGAACGAGGTGTGCAGGAAAGGGACTGAAGCGTGGATGATTTGTGGACCTGGGGGACAGGAACCAGGACAGAGGGACTAGGGGAAGACGACTACAACACAAAAATAAACAAACAATACAGGACTACAACCAAAAATGCAGAAATGAAATTCCAAAGGACAAGAGTGGAGTGCAAAGGCTCTGAGACTAACAAGGATCATCTCCGAGCACAAGTCACTGATGCTCATGCAGTATGCAGAGCTGGAGGCTTCTGGGATGCAGGTAAGGAACTGCAGACCACCTCCGTCAACTTTGGATGGGGACACAGGAGTAACACTGTCCATCTATTCAGATTGCCATTAAATACAGTTTATAAGCCTTTGAAGAACCAAAGATAATAAAAAAACTACCAAAACACCAAACTGCAACTATACAAATGTATCATAAAAAATGATTCAAGTTCTTTGCCACATGGAAATTCCCCACATTTGTTTAAAATCCTCCTCATTTCAATGATTTCATCTGGGTAATTCAGATCTGCCAAAACCCAAACTAGCATCTCTGAAATTTCCATAGTATTTGCGTGTATGTGTGTATGTGCGTGTGTGTGTGTGTGTGTATTGTGATGGCCTGGCATCCTGTCCATGCTGTACCAGGGATCACATGACCCAATGCTAGACAGATGGTCGAAAAATGAATGTGAGGAATTGATAGGCGGATGTATGAGGTCCCTAAAATTCCAATACAGGAAAAATTAAAAATGATTCCCTGAATCCTTCACAGGAAAATGCCTATAGAAACATACAATTTTTCTCTGAAATACAGAAAAAGAAAGCAATTTTTTACACAGTGTGTAGTTAGAGTATGGAATATTCTTCCTGTTAGTGTAATGCAAGCTAAAACCCTGGGTTCCTTTAAATCAGAGCTAGATAAGATTTTAACAACTCTGAGCTATTAGTTAAGTTCTCCCCAAACGAGCTTGATGGGCCGAATGGCCTCCTCTCATTTGTAAATTTCTTATGTTCTTATGTAAAATATATATTAAAGTACAAATTCATATGTGAGAACACTTTCTAAACTGCAATGAATATTGGCTCCAGTAAGCTGGAAACATTACTTTTAATATAATCTTAGTAATGTTTTAAGAGCCATGCCAAGAAGTTCATAATACTGCTATGCAAATGAATATTTAATTGAGGACCATCATTATCCAATAAAACAACATGTCATATAGATAGGAGACATTTGTAATTACTTGGTCTTATGCCTCTTTTTCCTGTATCCAGCCTTCACAGTTGAAAAAAACAAACTTTTAACCCAATTTTGGAAGAGAGCAGTTTGTTTCAGGAAAGTAATTTGATTACTTCATGATGTGAGCAGAGATAGAGCCAGATTACTGCCAAGGGGCATACCAAAAGTTTCTTAAATGAAATGAGGAGGCGGTCTGTTCCAGATAAAGGGACCATTTCAATCCCACAATGCTTTGAAAATCAACCAACGGGGCAAAAATCTGTGAAATGTCTGTGGTTACTTTGCCTAGATATTATCTGCTGTGAAACTTGACAAAGCGGTCTAGGAAGCTGAAAGATGCGACTGTGGTTTGCCAGAACTTTATTATCCATATTTATGCACGGAAACCGTGTGCTCCCTGCTGTTCCATTATAAACTTAATGCTCGTAGTAAACGGTAGCTTTACACACCAGTAAGGGAGATAATTAGGGAGCGTCAATTACTTACAATCAAGCAATGGTGGCTGTCCAGATACCAAAAGGAATCCGATCCCTAAATGTGTAATGCTCGTTCATGCTTGTCTGAATTGTTCTTGACCTTTGTAACCAGGAGCTGGATTTATGGGCTCTGGCCTGCATTAAAAGGTTGGCAGTTCAGCGAGTATTTGATGGAGGGATTTGGAAGGAGGCTGCAGGGTCCTGTCCACAGTGTAATGAGGTCCAGATAGTTAGGATGAATCACAGTAATAGAGGTATAACTAATCAAGCATGGCTCAGCAGGAGGAGGGTCTGGTAGGTAGCCTGTGACAAAACTGTGGCCTGATTCTCGCTTAACTGAACCTCACGCTGGTCCCAGCTGCCTGAAACTAAACGGCCAACAGGGGGATGAGTCAGTGTCTCCGCTCAGACTTGCAAGCAGACTGTCCTCCTTTTGGTTCTGCCTGGAAATCCCAAAGGAGAGCCAGAAGCCCCCTGTAGCTTCCTACCAGGCGATGTAATGCTCTCCTGAGTTCCTGCACCTATTCCCGTCTCTTCTGCAGACGTCTGGCTTTGTCTACGCTTCACGAACAACCAAAGACAATTAACTGCAGGACATGAAATCCATAAATAGCTTGTCACCGGAATGAACATTCACCAGCAGATGTTTTTCTCTGATATAAATTATTTATTTAAATTACAGAAAAAACCCATCGAGACAATGTTTAACTAAGTGAAATATACGGTATCCATACATAACCAAACAGTATCTTTTGAGTATCATTGTCTTCATTGGTGTCGTAAACCACAAACGCAAGGCATCGTGTGCAGTTCCTGCCTCCCCCCTGACACATCCCCCTCCCCCTGTGAGTCAGTCCACAGTGTCCAGGCTGGGGGTGAGGGGGATACTGTCAGCCCTCCTGCGTGCCCCTCGTCCAGCCGGCTCAGATCAAGCGGGTCGACGCCCGCATGGTGTTCTCTGAGCCGTAGTGTGTGGCGTTCTGCTTCTGCCTGGTTATCCTGCTGCCCCTGGGGCATTTCCTGTGGGGCAAAAAGGACAAGCAGGCGGTCTGCCGTCAGTGCCCCGATATCGCATCTGTTCAGAGATCAGGGGCAACTTTTAATCTATCCTCTGGTTATCAGCCATGTTCAGCTACCACAGTTATTGTTTATTGATCATGGTATTCAGCTGTTCTTGTTATATAGTAATCAGTGCTGTTCAGCTATTTATGTTGCTATTTGGTGATATCAGTAGTAATGCTTTTATTATTTGCTGGTCAGTAGTGCTTGACAATAATTTTAATTTATTGATCTGCAATGTACCGCTGTAATACCCAGGTAATATTACTATTCTACTACAGATCTTCTGGTCCAGCTCTGATACAGCTACATTTACACCCAATTTACTACGGCTTTAAGATGAATCCACGATCCATTAATACCACAATAACCAACCTCCAATACTCTCATGAGACATAAACACATAAGTCTATGTGAAGTGGGTGCAAGTGTTCTTTTGCATTGCAGGGTGATCGGAATCTGTATTTCAAAATAAAATTTAATATACAAAAAGCTGCTGAAAGAAGTAGAGAAAATCACTTTCCTGTTAAAATCTGGCCAAATGTTCTGCTAATGTATAACACCTGAGACGAGCACAGTGTCAGACTGAAGGTTGTCATGGAAACTCACTTATAACTTAGGAAGAGGGAGGGCACTTCATCCTTCAAACGAAAGAGGGTTACCAGTGACTTTAATAGGTGGCTGCATGTTAGTGAACTGCGTTACTCACAAAGTGTTTCTTCAGTGTATGAATATGCGTGTAAACATATGCCTTTGGTGTGTTTGATGTGTTAGCCTGTGCTGTTGATGCGTTTGATTTTCAGGCGTCCTCCTTCAGTGTGTTTGATGTGTTAGCCTGTGCTGTTGATGCGTTTGATTTTCAGGCGTCCTCCTTCAGTGTGTTTGATGTGTTAGCCTGTGCTGTTGATGCGTTTGATTTTCAGGCGTCCTCCTTCAGTGTGTTTGATGTGTTAGCCTGTGCCTTGTGTGAATTTTGTGTATAAGAATGTGCCTGCATTGCGTTCCTTATGTAGGCCTGTGCTTTTGGTGTGTGTGGGGTAAGTATGTGTTTTTAATGTGTGTGTGTGTCTGTGTTGTGTAAGTGTGTGTGTGTGTTGCGTAACTGTGTGCCTTCCATGCATTTGATGCATAAATGTGTCCCTGATCGATGTGTAAATCTGTTCCTTCAGTGTGCATGATTTTTGATGTGCTAGTCTGTGCCCTTAACGTGCAGGTGGGCCCTTTGGTTGCCCATGTCACCAGACTCACCGTGTGATACACAGCACCACCACGCAGATGACGGCCACCTGCACGGCCCCGATAATGGATGCGATGAGCACGTAACGGAGCTTTCCGGAGCCCGGGACCACGTACAGGACATTGTAGTCCTTGTTGTCGCACTGAGGACCGCTGAACCCAGAGTGGCAGCTGTACGGGCAAACGTGGCAGCGAGCTGAAGACAACATCTCAGACATCTACTTCCAGTCCTCAGTAACACTTAGCAGAAGCACCTTACATACAAACTGCATGTACACATACAAAAATTACCTTCATCCCTAAGTGTTTTGTTTGACATGATACACTTTGTCAGTCAACTGATCATTAACACATATCATATTGGGCCCCCGACCCAGCCTAATCCTGTTTTATTACAAAATTTTAAGGCTTCCAGTCACTCAGGGGTCCTTGGACACAAACAAAAAAAAAACAAATCACCTTCATCCTAACTGAGTTGTGGGTTCTTTGTTGTTTTACTGATATCTACATTTGATTCTGGTTGTCTCTCTCTTACATTGCATAGGTCTAAATGATGTAACAATCTCAGGGTAAGAGCTGTAGATTATAATACGGAACTCTCTCCAGTGAGTGAGACAGAGCTCCAATTCTCATCATAAACATTTAAGGAGAGATTATCAGGGCATTATTGATGGATCTTCATGTAACCTTAATATCGGCTGATTTTATCAGCCAATCGATATATCGGGTCCGGCTTGATCCAGGCTGCGGCTCAGGCTCTGCCACTGTCCCAGCTGGAGCCAGGAGCTCCTCCTAGCTCTGTCAGTTCACACACCCACACTGCAGTCTCTAAACCATGCGAATGGTGTCAGAAAGTCACACATCATATGCCATGGAAATGCCGCCGTACTACAGGTGAGGATGGATGGCGTGTTGCAGAAGTGGACAGTAGAGGGCGGTGCAGAGTGGAGCCTGAATCTCCTGTCATATCATTTTGTGGCACTTCTTGTGGGCCTGAGTCTTACCTACAGGAGGGGGGCAGCATGTTATTAGAGTGCTCGCAGTCGCCATGGACACAGTAGTTCTTGTAGTGCTCTGGGCATGGGATGTAATATTCCGGGGTCCCCTCGCTGGGCCGGTCCGGCTCCACCTCCCTCTCCTCTGCGGGTTAGGTAAGTAAGGACAGGGGCGGCATTTCAACATCGAGAGACACCCAGACAACACGTTCTTGATGAGAGCAGAATCAGCAGCCTGGCGACTGTTATATTATTCATTGGGTGAAAATGTTTTAAATTATGTCTGATGGGTTTCAGTCAATATCCCTATTTCTCTTTTAGAAAATATGCTTTTAATAAGGCTGCCACGTGTTTGCATATTATTGCATTTAAATCTGGCTGACAGACTCCAAGTAGTTCATCTGCATCTATTGCCATCCTTAATGACTTCATTTGACAAATTAGAAAGAGCCGAAGCAGACTCCTCTCCACACTCCCTGAAAATTCCCTGTAACCTGGTTTTACGTTGTTTCATCCTCACTGGACACACTCTTCCCAACCATACTGCAATGTCTTCGTGGACACGGGGCTTCAGTAAACCAAAACCCCATCTGCTGAACTATTTCCAAGATGGTGATACTCTGCGGCTGACATAAAGCAAACAAGCGACTAAAAGGAAAACAAAATGGATGGTGTTGTACTTCCCTGCCTATATATGACACCAGAACTGATTTTTGCAATAAGCAGCAGATTAATGACAGTGTAAACAGCATTCATTCGTTCACCCTGTACACACTGAATCACATGACCCGGATCACAAGCCAGTGAGGATAACCTTTACTGACAGTCATGTCTGCCTGAGTCTCTCCTGCCAGCCAGGGTGATATGCACGTTTAGATGTGGATGCACGTTTAGATGTGGATGGGTTTGCTATAAGGGGACCATGAAGTCTGCAGGGTCATTAAACTTGCTGGATCTTTGAAATGTACAGCGATGTCAAACTACTTAACATTTAAAACGGTTGTGCTCACGCCTACAAGACCATTAAAATGTAGAGGTTGAGTCCAGGGCTCTAAGATAGAGGTTGTTTATTATGTAAGAAATTACACTCACCAAAAGGATTATTAGGAACACCTGTTCAATTTATCATTAATGCAATTATCTAATCAACCAATCACATGGCAGTTGCTTCAATGCATTTAGGGGTGTGGCCCTGGTCAAGACAATCTCCTGAACTCCAAACTGAATGTCAGAATGGGAAAGAAAGGTGATTTAAGCAATTTTGAGCGTGGCATGGTTGTTGGTGCCAGACGGGCTGGTCTGAGTATTTCACAATCTGCTCAGTTACTGGGATTTTCACCCACAACCATTTCTAGGGTTTACAAAGAATGGTGTGCAAAGGGAAAAACATCCAGTATGCGGCAGTCCTGTGGGCGAAAATGCCTTGTTGATGCTAGAGGTCAGAGGAGAATGGGCCGACTGATTCAAGCTGATAGAAGAGCAACTTTGACTGAAATAACCACTCGTTACAACCGAGGTATGCAGCAAAGCATTTGTGAAGCCACAACACGCACAACCTTGAGGCGGATGGGCTACAACAGCAGAAGACCCCACCGGGTACCACTCATCTCCACTACAAATAGGAAAAAGAGGCTACAATTTGCACGAGCTCACCAAAATTGGACAGTTGAAGACTGGAAAAATGTTGCCTGGTCTGATGAGTCTCGATTTCTGATGAGACATTCAAATGGTAGAGTCAGAATTTGGCGTAAACAGAATGAGAACATGGATCCATCATGCCTTGTTACCACTGTGCAGGCTGGTGGTGGTCGTGTAATGGTGTGGGGGATGTTTTCTTGGCACACTTTAGGCCCCTTAGTGCCAATTGGGCATCGTTTAAATGCCACGGCCTACCTGAGCATTGTTTCTGACCATGTCCATCCCTTTATGACCACCATGTACCCATCCTCTGATGGCTACTTCCAGCAGGATAATGCACCATGTCACAAAGCTCGAATCATTTCAAATTGGTTTCTTGAACATGACAATGAGTTCAATGTACTAAAATGGCCCCCACAGTCACCAGATCTCAACCCAATAGAGCATCTTTGGGACGTGGTGGAACGGGAGCTTCGTGCCCTGGATGTGCATCCCACAAATCTCCATCAACTGCAAGATGCTATCCTATCAATATGGGCCAACATTTCTAAAGAATGCTTTCAGCACCTTGTTGAATCAATGCCACGTAGAATTAAGGCAGTTCTGAAGGCGAAAGGGGGTCAAACACCGTATTAGTATGGTGTTCCTAATAATCCTTTAGGTGAGTGTATAAGAAATGTGGGTGTCATCATATATGTTGTAGAGTTACATGTATGTATGCGCGCAATACAAAACAGCGCCCTCTAGTGGTCAGTAATAATAAAACAATAAAGTCCCCCTACTGGTCAGAAAGTCCAGGTCTACACAGTACCCTCCAATATCCCCCTTACTCAATGCCAGAATTGCAAGGCCCCTAGGTCTTCTTTTCCTCTTAATTAACTTTGCAAATGCCCCCTCTGTGACCATCCAAATGGACGTGTTCAAACGCACAGAGTAATACAGGTTCTTTCAGATGGGTTGGGGCATCGGCCCCCTACCTGGGTAGTATTTCCTTGGAGAACGGCCATCTCCAGGCTTGACCCCCTCAAGCGTGTCGCCTGTAGGAGGGAGGCAAGCAGAAGAGACAGATGGCCAGTCGGTTACAGCATAATATGTGCTGGGAAAGACCTCTGTGGGGGGGGGGGGGGGGGACATGCCCCAAGAAAAGTGCCGCAACCCCATCCCAGGATGGCTGCACTGGGCTCAGATCTCTGTCAGGTGTTACAAGGCACATGGCCAGGGGCCTGGTAGGATACAGGCACCCAGCAACATTAAGCAGCGGTCTCACGGAGACGGTGCCACAAGGAAGCCCGGTTTATTTCCCGATAGACGGTCGAAAGGTTGTGATCTATTGTATAGGATGTGGGAGGCTGAGAAAGGAGAGCACTACGAGTCCCTTCGCCCCAGAGCACAGCACAAACACGTCTAGCATCCCGAAACTCTGTGCTTCTTTGCTTTCAATAACGGGACCAGGCTGGAGGTTCATTCTGGCAAGAAGCACTGGATGTGCAAGGCGATGCCACACAGATCTGTGTAAATACAGCTGGGTCCCCGAGGAGAAGCTCAGCCACTTCTAAACAGATTAGACAACGGCTCTAACACAGTGAAGCCCACCTCGACACACTTTATGTTCTACTATTGGATACATTTTTTGTACTTTGGACTTGACTTTGTTTTGCTGGCTGACAGGAGAAAAAGTGGTTAAAGTGAAGAGAAAAAAAGAAAATGAAGGAGAAGGTAAAAAAGATGCTGATAGAGGTGATAGAAGAGGACTGAAGGGAAGTGGGGAGATAAATGGAGAGGACAGAGAAGGGGGGGGACAGATGGAGAGGGATGGACAGACACTGAGACAGAGAAGGACAGGCAGAGAGAGGCAGGGATAGAGAGAGAAAGAGAAAAAGACAGACAGAGTGGGACAGATAATGAGAGACAGATGGACATGGTCAAATGCTGACAGACCCAGACAGACAGAGACACGCAGCTGGAGAGAGACGGAGAGACACTGAGACAGAAACAGACACGGACAGGCACAGGTAGACAGAGAGACATACAAACACAGATGGACAGGAAGAATGAGACAGAGATGGAAAGGGACAGACAGAGAGACATAGGAGGAGAGGGACAGACACATAGACACTGAAACAGACAGGGACAGTGAGACAGAGATAGAGAGTGAACGACAGACAAAGGGACACGGAGTGACGGATAGGCTCACGGCGCTGGCCTCACCTTGGCAGTGACCCAGGTATTTGACCTCGATCCGCTCCTGTTTCTGGCAGGACGCCTCCTTCACCTGACAGGGGTTGTCGTAGGACTTTCCGTCAGAGGCGCACACTGGGTTGAAGCTGATTTGGGAGCAGTCGATATTGCAGACGCACCTGGGAGGGACATGTTTGTGCCACTTATCACATCCAGTAGCAATCAAAGTAACTCTAAATATCTGAGCAGTGCTGTACAGGTGCAGTTTCCTACGTTTGTTTTTTATGATCATAGACGATAGGGGTGCAATGCAGAAGTGAATCTGTGCTCCCATAAGAGGCACTAAGGTAGTAAGGGGGCTACAGTAATAAGAAAGGCAGGAATCCAAGGTGGGCCCAGTCTTCTGAGCTACTTCACTCTTGATACTGATCTATGTACTATACGAGGTAGATACTATAGAGCAGGGGAGCCCAACTCCAGTCCTGGGGGGTCAGAGCCCTGCACATTTTTGGGTTTCCCCTCATTTAACACACCTGATTCAACTCCTTGTGCTAATTACCACACAGCTCTTGAGCTGAATCATTTATGGTGGAACAGGGAAAGAACTAAGCTACACAGGGCTCCGGCCCCCCAGGACTGCAGTTGGGCACCCCTGCTATAGAGAATGTACTATAGATAATTCATCAATCGACTGAAAGTGTAAATGTTTATTTCTGGGCTATGATTGTAGCCACACCAGTGGCATTTAAGTTCTTTTTTTCATTCTGGAACTTGTCAATCAGGCAGACAAGCAAACAGAGTGACAAAATAGTAATGTATGTGTGTGTGTTTATGAATTTCACACTTATTTCATGGCTATAATGGTATTTGCCATCGTGACAGACTGGCATTCTCTTTCATAAGACTATGAAAAACTCGTCGGGCTGTTTTAATTATGTTTTAAAGCACGTTATTCAGCTTTCTGTGCAAACCTGACACTCGTGCTTATCTACAACACACAGACACAACAAAACATTAATGGCTACTCTGTTCTTGACTTTACGGCATACACGTTTGTTATGGAAAATGACAGCAAACAGCAAGGCCTTCAAAGGAATACATCTGACGGATCGCGGCACGTTAGGTACACGCAAACGGCACGCGGGAGCGGAGAGCGGCCGTGTGATATCATAAAAACACAATTACTGAGGCAGTCACCTCATTTTTGGCTACGCCTTTTGGGGTTCAGATGAACCCCAGTCACAGGATACCGCGTTAATGTTGGGCGGCTCGGGATGGAGGACGGTGCCTCAGGTGGACGTCTTGTGTTGGGCGTGTTTGCTACTTTATTACCCCCAAAAGGGGCTGTGCTCCTGGGTGATGGATATATATAAATCAAACCAGATGTGTCTGCTACCAGACACTGCCCATTAGAACAAGGCCTCCACCCCCAGCGTGTTACTCAGCCCGTCCTGGTCCTCAGCGCCACCTTGTGTTAGACACTAGCAGTGCAGTGCAGTGCACTAGCAGAGGGTTCATAGTGCCACTCAGAGTCTGCCGTACACATGCCTGTCCTTGTGCTCCCTGATGAAAAAGACCGGCCAAAAACCAGCTAATGTTGGCAGTCTAAGATAGTCTTAGATGGTCTAAGATGGTCATGTCCCAGCTGGGTGGGTCACCAGTTGATCATGCCAGTGTGGCCAGCCTATCATGCTGGTCAGGTTGGTATGACCAGTTAAACCATCAAACTATCATCATCTGGTCATGTTGGTTATTTCAGATGGGTTACCATTTACTTTGGCAGAGGGTGCTATACAGCTTCAGGATGGTCATGGCGTTTCAGGTCCTGGTTCAGGTCACTTTTTTCTTCCAGCCACCGGGTCTAGATTTATTCATTCGTAACTGTCGAGTTTGTAACGCAAGAAAACTACGTGACAAATCATTACCCTGTTTTTACTTCTGCAGGTATAGTCAGGGATTGGCTAAGTCTCACTCCAAAAGGGATCTGTCTCTCTTGCCATTGCGCAAACACAGTGGGACGGCGCTCGGTGAGAGGCGGCACTGGAAAGGCTGCTCTCCCGTGAGGCCGGCCATTTGTGTAGCTACAGGATAATGTGTGTGAAGGCCATGCATTTTTAATGGTGAGTCAGAGAGCTTGCATCCCCGAGTGTAACTGCTACACAGCACTGAAACACGGCGTGAATTTTCAGCGTGACGCTCTACCGAAGCTGCAGCACCATTCACTGTGACAATAAGCTGCAACGCTGCAGTGTGCAGCCACAGTAATGTGGAAAGTCACACGGAAAATTCTGCAAGGGCTGCAATATGTGTTAAAATGCAATGAGATTCTACAATACATAAGTGCACAATGTAGTATGTAAATGCTGCAATGCAAAGCTGCATTTAATGTATAACTACACTGCAAACCTGAACTGTGCATTACGGCATCACTGCACAGCTTTAACTAGTTTGCGTTTGTACACAAGCGATTATATAGCAATGTGATATACATGGAGTGATGGACCAATCGCCTGCAATCTCGAGGTCCCCCTGTTTACCCACCTAAAGCTGCGGATTTCCAGGATCACATCAAGCCTTTTCTCTAAATCCAGACACACAAACCTGAACCAGCAGCCGGTACAGCAGGAATCACAGCTGTAGGCACACTGGACCAGAATCTGCAGTGTGTTTAGTATTAGTGGGTCTGTACAGCAGCAGGCGGTGGAGAGGCCGAACTGATAGCCCCACGCTGAGCCGGCGCACTGGAGAAACCGAATAGCCAGCACAAGAAGTGAAAACAGCCAGGCTAATGCTGTGGTCGCCACTGCAGCGTCTGGGTCAGGTGCTGAATGTGCTATTGATCGGCCGCTAGGATTTTTCAGCGCCTGCAGCTCAGAAAGCGGACGAAGCCTGGGAGACTGTGATCAGACGGACGATTCTGACCCCGTGCCCCGGCTCAGCCTGCCAGGATTCGGAGCGTAGGCCCAACGCTTGAGAAGCAACAGTGCGGGAATATGGATTGATTTCCCGCCCCATACAGGCACCACTTCATGGCTGAGGGTTCCTTTCAGCTCACATCTAAATGAAACACAAACATGAACAGTGTGTCCTTCATGGAAGGGCCACCCAACATTATTTTAATCAAGCTCAAATTCTGCTCTCTGGAAGCAGCCTAAAACCAGGGCTTAAGTGCTTGGGATCTCCTTGTTATCCATCACCATCTTGTCTGTGTGATTTAATTAATCTCCACAGTGCCCTCTCAGGAGGACTGAGGAACTACAGCAGAAGAACCCGTAAAGGTTAACAGATTGAGGCTAGAGGTCCAACTACTTGTCTGAAGTAAATTCTTCCCCTTAGCAAAGAGAAGATTTTTTGACTAGCCACAAAGTCTTTAACATAAAAGCTCCAACGAACAGTTAAAAACTGCTCGATGTCAATGCTACCGGGAAATACAACATGTCAGTACATTGCTTTCATGTAAATTTACAACCAGATAAATGACCCCTCTGTACTCTCTTGTCCGTCACCTTTGAGTACAAAAATGTTGATCACTGTGCAGTTTACTAGTGATCAGCTTGTTATCCTGAAGATAACTTGAGGCTGTGTAGTGAATAATATTAAGTGATATTAACAGTATGGTTTGGCTTCACTGCCGGTCACGATGATGATATTTGTGCACAGTGATAAAGGGCATTTATATGAATGACTCAGGAAGGCATGAGGACTTTTTCTGGGCACGAGTCACGACAGAATTTAGCAACACACTTCGGGTTTTGGGAGGCGTCAGTCGGGTATGGGATCGCACATTAGGGTCTGGGAGTGTTTTCTGGGGCTCAGAGGCACAGACCTCGATGTTACTTAATTGGCATTAAGGTGAAGTGAACAAGCAGGCCTGACCCTTGGCTCCGCCCACACTGGGATGTCCACACCCCCCTCAGCCTTACAACATCAATAAATGTTTTTGTCATTGTCTCATTTTCAGAGACCGAGGTGTCCGCCCCGCGTTCCTCTCTGCTTCACTGACGCGCAGCGACCGCGATCGAAAGGGGGGCAGCTAGCTGCTCATCTCTGGCATCGACGACTGCGGCATTAATCGCTGTTTCAGCTCAGCAGTTTGGATAGTGATCGTTTGCCTGGGGTGGTCTACCATCCCTCCATCTGCTTGGCATCTGTTAAGTAAAACAGGACCTGCTACGTCTCGCCTCTGGTCTCAAGGCCATCCATCATCTTTGCGGGCAGGCTGTGCTCGGGCACGTTTATTAACACCGGAGAGTCGCTGAAGTTTTGGGAGACTGAAATGAATGCAAAAATTTAGGCCAAAGCAAAGCAGGATTTCGGGGGAGGGGAGGGGATACGGATTTCAGACGGAAGCCCTGGGCTTTTGTCTCTCACTTGCGAGAAGCCCTCGTCACTCACATGGACCTCGTGTCACTCACCAGACATCCTCGGCGTCCTCGTCACACTCCGCCCCGAACTGGCAGATGTCGCAGGTGG